CCTACTTATTTTGTGTTTCTTTTCATTATAATTTTCTGATAAAGTGGTGAGTAACATAAAGCAGTAACTAAGCATATATGTTCACTCTTTAATGAGTTTTCAAAATGTTCTAGAGTTTCACCCTATACAGCACCTTAGCTATAGTTCTTTGTTAGTAGAATATTATCAGAGGCAAAAAGGACGGCCAAAACTATCTGACAGACCAGTTTGTATACATTATGAACTGATTATATATTTATATGTAACGTTTAAAATTTCAACTTTTCAATATTCTTATATAACTCAATTATGATCAATACAGGTGGCTTACAATGACCGGACAGTTTCGTCCCAGGAAGCTGATTGTTGGTGTTAAAAATGAGATTTCTAAGGCTGAAGATTTTGATCTCTCCACGGTCAAGGATGTTGCAAAGCATTTCGTTGACAAGGCACTTTTTTCGCTTGGGTTAACATTTCAGTATGCTTTTTCTCCTTCAACATCCGTATTGTTTGGTTTAGAGGGCCATGGTGAGAAAGCAAAATTGCGCCGCAAAGTGATGGTTTATCATAAGGCATTGGATTAACCATTGTTATAATTTTTTATTTTTATTTCTTCTGATGAAAAGATTTTCACTGTTTGAATCAAGTTGAGATACATTCAGTCAAATGAAATTTTTAAGGACCTCATTCATTCACATTTATATAAGCATATTCCTCATTTCAATGTTGCTCTGTTATCGTGCCATGTTTTTCATTTTGTCTATAATGAAATATATGAAAGACAAGATCTCTTGACAGCTGTCCAATCATGATTCTTACATTAGAAGCAGCATGGCCTCAATTGTTTCTTGACCACAAAGGAAAATATTGGGATGTCCCTGAGTCTTTATCTGTTGATTTGTCATCCCTTTTGTCTGAATCTGGAATCCGTTGGCGTGTTGGGTTACATAAAAATGGTGGTAATCCCCAGCAAGTGAATGCAACAGATGGTAAGCCGCCATTATCTCTGCTACCAGGGTTATCTCTGAAGAGTGCCGTGAGTTATGAGAAGATTAAATACTTCTGGAGAGATAAAGGCACCGTGGAACAAGGCAATGAAGATGTGGTTCCATATTGATGTTGCGTCTGAACGAACCTCACTTCAGCTGTGTTTGGAGTGATTGGTAATTTTCTAGACTGTTTGAGATGAGAATAAGTATTAAAGTATGTTTTATGTTGTGTTGTGTTTTTAGCACATTCTCTCATATATGCTCAAGCATTCAACTTCTTTATCATTTGATGAAATTAAATAGCTTGTGTAGAAGAGAAGAAAGGAATACTGGCACTACAGTGAATTTATATTACAAGTGTGTTTTGATGTGCTTGCAAAATGCCAAAGCATTGAAAAATATTAATGGAATGCAAAAGTTACTCTCAGAGATCATTTTAGATCCTCTAAATGTTGTCCAAGATTTCTGAGATATTTTCTAACAAATTTATTGTACAAACAAAATTCAAATATGTTAATAACGAGAGCTTTGCTTGCTTAACGTTGCAGATTCTGTTTGAATAAACAGTTTTCGTATATGGATATGAATGCATTCAATGAATTCCTATGTTGGATGACATAAATTTCTCTCGATCAATTGTTTTCCCTTTGAACATATTTTGCCATTTTGTGGATGAGATGTTAGCTGTGTAGACAAGTTTTGGCAATTTTATTATGCATGAATTGTTTTGCTATCGGTTCATAAACATTGTAGGTGGCACCTTTATCTTGAATTGGAAGGAGCTTTTCTGCATAATTCACAAGAAGATTTGGGGTGTCAAAAAGCAAAGAGATTTCCTATTTTTGGTGATGTGTTTGGCTCAGTGGTTACTCCTTTCAGCGTGGAAAATTCACAAAAAAATATGGGGACTTGACCAGAGTAGATGCTCGTCTGGATATTTCTTCAGCTTCAGCATCTGCAAAGAAGATTCTGAATGGTTCCAGGGCTGATGTTGGTGAACAACTACCAGCTTTGCCCAGGCTAAATTTAATCTTTCAACAACAGGTGAATTTTTTTCTCTGCTGATAAAAGCAAACTATCTTCCTGTGTATGTTGTTAGGTTGGATGTCTTTGTATCAAGAACAAGTTTTAACTGCATATGTTATGTTTAATGTCTAATAAAGTTCTCCAAAAGACGTAAAAGGGAAAGAAAAAGTTGAATCACTTTTTATAATTCTAAAATTAATATACATAAACTAATGTAAAAGGCATCTTTTCTAAATTTCTTAAATTTTTACTTTTAACTGTGCATCACATAATTTTAGCATCATGATATAGCTTATTTTTGCTATAAATGCTTACTTTGTCCTCATGTTCAGAGGTGAATTTCTGTTTAGTATCCGGTTTAAAACGAAAGACGTGAGGTTCCTATGCTTACGTTCTGGTCTCGAGTATATCAGGATCTGAGTGATTTCAGTATTTGGAGCTGAGTAGGTTCAGAACTATTATATCCGATCAGCAGCATACGTCATGATAACCTTATAAACTGTGATAGATATTGTAGCAAAATAAAATAAAATGTTTATCTGTCCACTTTGTAGGTTGCAGGGCCAGTTGTTTTCCGAAGCAGATTCCCGAATTAACACTGGAAAATGGTTTGGCGACGTAGAGGATTTCATTTGCACCCTGAGTTACTCCTGAAGTCATTGAGTATGGAAAAGGTTGTGCTTGGTATTCTCCAAAAAGGAAAGAGGGAATGGTTGAGTTGCGAATGTATGAGTTTTAGAAGATTGAAGCTTCCATTCATGCATTCTTCAAAGATACACCTTTCAATCCAAGAACCCCAACATGGTTGCTCTAAAAGATGCATTTCGATTACATTACATGTTGCATGCATCATATGATCTGTTGAAACTCAGCACCATTGATTTTGTAATGCCAAAAGGGTTTAGTTGTGTAACATTTTCTGCATAAGCCTAGTACATTTCACATTCAAATTCTAAAGAGAATCAAAATGCTGGAGTTTAAATGAATTTGTCTTAAAAGCTCTATAAGTTGAGATCTTTTTGAAGCTAGTGAAACTGACAAAAAGATTGAAAGAAACAATATAAAACCAGTAAGAACTGGTTTAAACTGATATTTTTCAATCTTAAGAATGAAACATTCTAAAGACAAATAAAACATGTAAGTTTAAATTGGTACAAATGATAAAATTATTGAATTACACAATGTATGCTTACATAATTGAAGCAGATGAAAAAACGTATGAGCTTAGATTGATATGGTTTTATGGGTTCATTAAAAGTTATTCAAATTGCAGATTTTAGATTTTTCTTTACCAATTTCTAATTAGATATTTTGTAAACTTGTAGTGGGATCATTCACTCCATTACCAAGTTCAAATGACTCAAGGGCTACGATTGATATGTTTTTATTGATTCATGAAAAGTTATACTATCTCTATTATAAAGAATATGGATCCATACTTAAATTTTAACGATTTAATATCAACATCAATATAAATATAATTATTTTTTTTAGAATATTGATTATTTATTAGTCCACAAAAGAATACTTCCTATCCAATTTGACTCATGAATATCTTGATTCGAGATGTAATTCTAAACAATTTATATATTAACTTGATAGATATTTACTTACAGTCCTTGTTTTTTATTCTGTATCACATTTTCAAGAATTATAGAATGTAATGACTATTAAAACATCATCTTTGTCTTAACCAATAATTCATATACATCATCCAAACATATACAAAAAAAATATAAAAATAATAATAAAACATATAGAGACTTTTTTTAATCCAAGTTCATTAAATGAAAAAAAAAATTATTACTTTATATGTATTTCTTTAAATTATAAAATGGTGATGTTTAAAATAATATAATAAAATAAAATAAGAATTTAAGCAAGAGCTTTAATTAAATATGGGTCAGTATATTAGATATAAACAAAATAAAAAATGTATAAATTATTAAATAGGACCCATTTATAAATGTAAATAAATTAAATAATATAATCATAGATTTAATAGAAAGAACTAATATCTAATCGGAGATAAGTTAAATTAAATGTAAATTAAATTAATTTTATAAAAAGAGAATGACGATAAATGAATACTGTAACATCCCAAATTATATAGAAGCATATAACATAGTAAGCTTATTATATAGAAGCATATAACATAGTAAGTTTGTTAAGCTTACAGTCATCCGATAAGGAGTCAGATTTTAAAACTTAAGCATACTAGAGTATTTCAAAAGATAAGGAATAATTGATAAAATCCTAAGGAGACTAAGCAGCAGCATCATCTTCCTCCAAAGCCTACTGCAGAGGCACCTCATCCATCTATGCTCACATCCAAGTGGATGATCATTGCAAAAGAAAGCATACCCAAGCAAACACAAACACACAAGCAAGGGTGAGTTAGATATAAAAATCATGTTATAACAATCATAGGCAACATGCAGGTAAAGACAAATATACTATACTATACAAACATGACTTGTGGCACTTAAACTTGACTCGTCCGGACTTAGAATGATTGTCGAGCTTTGGCGGGTTATGCACTTGTGGTGGCTTCTACTACTTTGCAAAGTCATTGCCAATGGGTTTCACCCTACCACACTCACGAGGTTAGTCCGTTATCACTCACCTTGGGCCATACTGGAAGCACCCAAGACTAGGACCTCCTACTACTCCTCACCACATGGATCAATCCTCTCTACTTGAGAATGAAAGACCATTGGAGCGTCAGAAAAACCCCCAAGACTGAGCTAGCATGCAAATCATTCTAAACACATTGAAAGGACACCACCATGTATCCCCCTTGAGGATCATGGAATTACGTCCAATACTAATACTTTCCACTTTAACACCAACATGATAATGCACACATAAGCCCTTAAAGCAACTGGAACAATTAAGTAAAATAGCATACTGGAATAAATAGGAATATAGGCCGAACAGAAAACATCAACACATAATGAGCAAGACTGAACACCCTGTGAATGGTGGAGACCGAATGATAGCTCTCTTCCCAAAGATAGGACCGAACGATCCATAAAAGGTAAGACTGAAGAAGTGACCAAACACTATTCAGGACCGCTCACTAAGAGAGACGAACGCTACCTAAGACCGAGCAATATCAAGACCGAACGCTACCTAAGACTGAGCAATATCAAGACCGAATGTTACCTAAGACCGAACGCTACCTGAGAGACCAAACGCTACTTGAGACCAAACGCTACTTAAGAGACCGAACGCTACTTATGAGACCGAATGCTACTTATGAGACCGAATGCTACCTGAGAGACCGAACGCTACCTGAGAGACTAAACGCTACCTAAGAAACTGAACACTACCTAAGAGACCGAACGTTACTTAAGAGACTGAACGCTACCTGAGAGACCGAACACTACCTGAGAGACCGAACGCTACTTAAGAGAACGAACACTACTTAAGTAACTGAACGCTACCTGAGAGACCAAACGCTCAACAGCGCATGGCCGAACAATTATCCGTTCACTTTCGGCGAAACTGCATAATTCTGCATAATTGCTGGAGAATTGCTGCAGTATGAACAACACCTAACATAACCATTCCTAACCATTTTTACTAACTTCTAACACCCTTAATTCTTATTTTATACTTAATTAAACTTATCTAAATTATTCTAAACATTCCTACTACCATTCTAAAGTGATTAAGACTCAATTTCAACTTTAAAACACCAATTTTCCCAACTTAGGGATCCAAAACCCAATCCTACTGCTTTGCACCTATTTTGATCAATTTAGTGACTCAAACAAGTCACAATACACTAGCTAAGACTACCCCCAACAGCCTAGTTGCGCTTTAGACCTCAAATGCCCAAAATCACTACCTCGCTTCCTCTCAAAGTGACCTAAAACCACAAAACTCCAAATTTCTATCCAACCAAAAATATACCAGATTTCACACTTAAATCACTTCCAATTGGTTAATTATAGCAATTCAAACCCATCCAAATCAATTCCAAACAACTCAACACAGTTTCATGGATTTCACATATCAACACATACATTACAACATACTCAAAACGCAAAATATAACTCCAAACAGTGCACCAATTCAGAATCCAATATACATACACTTCATGCAAGCAATTTAAAGAAGTATTCTAGCTCCCCTTACCTTGGAGTTGAGCAGTACAGCCCACTAAAATGCTCTAACAGTGCCTCACACAGCAAGGACCCGACCAAAACCCGCTGAAGAAGGAAAATCTAATCGGATGGTTGCGAAGCTCACTGTGCCGCGATCACTTGAGCACCACCTAATCCAACATGCAATGGCTGAATGTGAGGGAATGATAGAGAGAAGACAGAGCAAGGTTAGGGAAAATAAGAGTTCTAAAAAGAGAAGGGAAAGTTGGCTAATGAACTCAGATTTTGAAAGATCCCTTCTTAAGTCATGATGTCCTCAGTTTTACGAGCCTGACTGTCTCATCATAAGGCCCAACTGCTCTTGACCCATTTTTCAGGTCCTTACATTGAATACAAAATTTTCATTTATCAAATATAATAAAAAGAATCAAGACATAATTCAAGATAAATAAAATAACATAATTATAAACTTAATAGAGACTCGGGCCTTGTTGGAAATTGAAAGACCATATCATTCTAAATTTAATAAAAACGACAACTTATAAATTAAATTAAAATTATAAATTTAATAAAAATGATAACTTACATATAAATTAAATAACATAATTATAAATTTAGTAACAAGCACCAATAAACTAGTGAATTACAAAATCTAGTTAAAAAAATCGGTGCATAATTAAATATAAATTAAACGTATAACAAAATAAAAATTATATTTAAAATAAATACAAAATTAATAAAAACACACATAATTTCATTAAAACTAATATAAAAGAACTTAATCTCACTTTTTCTTATCTTATTAATTAGACTGACACAATAAAATTAGAATTAGAAGTATTTTAAAAAATTCAAATTTCGTAAATATCTTTCGTTCCAATTTTTCTTCTCATATCCTACGTCTCTTCATCTTTTCCTAGTTATCTCCTCTTTCAGCCATTCATCTATTTATAAGTTAAATATTATTTTGATTTTTTTAAAACTATGATTACATGAACAAAATACTAAGAGATAACTTTAATATCTTATCTTACAATTATCATAACATTAGAATAATCTTTTACATAATTTTTTTAATTATATATATACATACATATACATGTACATAGATACATACATACATACATATATATATATATATATATATATATATATATATATTCATATTCTTTTCTAATAATAACACATCTTTAAAACTACTTAATTTATTTTTTTATATTCATATTTTATCTAAATAAGATAGAAATTTAATCATAAGAGTTATTTAAAATAAGAATAAAGTAAAAACTCAAATTATTTAAAAATAAGCATGCTATAGTTTTTTCCCTCACACTCAAGGCACCTTGGAAGACTTCAAGTTGTCTTTAAACATATTGCCACACATCCCATATAATCAAATTTTAAATTTACCTTTTGATTTATGATTTTAAATTTTTTTTACTCTAAAATATTAAATAAAATAAAATAAATTATATAAATTGAAATATTAATTCTATATTATAAAATGTAAATTCAAAATATAAAATTTATATTTTAGAATGTATAATCCAAATAAAAAAAATCAGAAGGTATAATCCAAAATAATAAATTTGTATTAAAAAATATAAGAATTTAGAATATAAAAGAAATAATTACGTTTCAAATTGGTGTGGTACCGTGATAAGTGATAAAAGAAGTTTAAGGTTTTTCCTAACATTGTAGGGGCGCGGTTAATAATTATGAGGGTGCAGGAAGCAATAGCTGACAACCAAATATCACTTTAACCTAGTCTCTTCATGCTTAACATTTCAGTTTTTTT